ACACACACATACATATATACATACATACATAAATACATACATATATATATGCACGTGATAACTGTGGCGAGATTATTGTATGTACAAAGATGGAAGAATAATGAAACACCTACCCTAGAGGATTGGATTAGAAAATTTGCTGGAGTTGCAGAAACAGCAAAGCTAACCGGTTTGGTGAAGGAAAAAATAATAGTCTTTTCCAGAAGACTGGAACACTTATATACGGACTGTTGAATTAGACCGATAATTTATGAGTCTGGGGATTAAAATTAAAATTGATTACCACCAGACCTGAGATTCTAGGCTGAGACAACCTTGAACTACGCCAGCTAAATTGGACTTAAGCATAGTACATAAAATCATGTTACAACGTCTTACCAGTTAATGAATATTTCAGCTTTAACCACAACACAAGAGCACACAGCAGATATAAACTTCATGTAAACCGCACCAAACTCGATTGCAGGAAATACGATTTCAGCCACAGAGTGGTCAATGTCTGGAACTCACTACCTGATTCTGTTGTCACCTGCTCAACCCCCCGCTCTCCATTACCCTCAAACTAACCTCTATCAACCTCACCCCATTCCTAAGAGGTTTGTAAGGGGCGTGCATAAACGCACCATCGTGCCTACCGTCCCTGTCCTATTGTCCCCAATTATTAGTTCCTATTTTTTGTATTTAAACTTACATTTATTCTTGTTATCTATTATATTGTAAGCATTTGACAAAATAAAATAAATAAAATAAATAAATAAAAAGGGTCAAAGAAGAGGGAAGAATAAAAGGTGACATAGAAGGTGGAAGTCATAATCCTCCCTTCCTTGTTTTACTTTTCCTCCTCCTTCCCTCTCTCCCTCTTTCTCTCTCTCGGTCTCTTTCCTTTTCTTTTCTTTCTCTCTCCTTCTTTCCCCACTTGGCTTACCGTTTTGCATGTTGCCACCCGACATTTTACTTCTCGGATGTTCCTCATCTTCTCTTCCATTTGTTCTTTTTTCACCAGAGGCTCGAAGTATCGTTCTTGCATCTCAGCTTCAAACTGTGATACGGCAGTGAGAAAGAAAGTTGAACTGGAGATTAAAGTTTTAATCTTGCCATGTAAAATAACTGGTATAAATAACATGAGTTATGCTGAAGACAAATTTCCTTTCCTTTCCTGACCATTTCACTGATGCTACGCAGAGTACAAAAATTAAAATGACCCAAAACAAATAAACCATGATATCTTAGTTATAACGGCAAAGTCCCCAAACAGAAAGGCCACATCACCAACTTCAGACGTCACCTAATCTCCTAGCTTCAAATGCCTTGGGGAAAAGTTATTTATTTTTATCCTCGAGGGTTTTTTTTATATATAAATAACATTGCTAAGGGTTTTAAATAGTTGGAGGAGGTATATTTACAAACCAGAAGCAATAGTTAGTCCAAACTTCACTTAAACATTTAAGATGCACAGAGTAGAAATATTTTAGCTTTCTTCTGCTTTCCAAAACAGCGAAGGTTTTAAATTTGAGAGTTGGTTGCAGTTTGCACAGTTATAAAAATAATTGGAAAGTTGCTAAATGAGGATCTGGATCTTAACCCTGAGATACCTTGAGATATACCTGGTTTGAAACATCTGACTGCCGAAAAGAAAACTGGGAGTTTTTCTAGGTTAACATACAGCATATTGATTTAAAACCACAAATATTTTTGTCGGTGATTCTGCCCAACACTTACAGGAAAGGAAATACATATTTAATTATAACATGTATTAACTGCAGCCAGAATTATATTTGCACAAAATTGGAAAAGTGATGAGATCCCTATGGAGGAGAATGTGATTAGGAAAATATTAGAATGTGCAGAAATGAATAGATGAACACTTGCTATAAAGGAGAAAGAACGAACTGAATATTATATGACATGGGAATTCTTATATGGAGGGCTGGAGAATAAAATCAGAAGTGAGAAATGGAGATTAGTAAAATAAGGAATAGATGTTAAGATAGAGATGTCAACAGTATTATTAATAGGATTGTTAAGATTATTATACCTAATATATAATAATATATATAATTATATATATTATATAATTATAATAATATATAATATACCTAATATACCTAATATATTTTCATTAGAAGGCATGTTAAGGCAGAGAAATGAATAGGGTCATAATGCTGATTATTATTATTGTAAGATTAGGGATTTATTATCAAAGTAATGAATACTGTAAATTTGGATTGTAATAGCACAGACATTTGTACCCAGATGACACACCGTTTAATGGAAGATATGTTCCAGTTAAAAAAAAGTCCTAATTACAAAAACATACTTGAATTACAATAGTGTTTACCACAGGTACTTTACCTGAAACCCAATGCTTAAGGATAACTTTAATCAGCACCTCAAGTTCTACTATAAAACTCATTCAAATTGGATCACCAAAGTTTTTGTTTTTTTAAAGTTAAGAGCTGTACCCTTCCAAGTTGCCCAATTGAGTTCATCCTTGTTTAGCAACGATTTCACAACCGCTCCACTTATGACAGTGACAGAAAAGCACCTTCATGGTCCAATCTACCAAATTTAAAAGCGCTTTGTTGTTTACAACTTTCGCACGTCTGTGAAACAAAGGGAAAAAAACGGATGCCAAAGATGTAAGCACAGCCACACTTTGGGCTTGGTCGATTCCTTGACGGATTCTTGGCCGCCTTCCCAACGCTTTTACGCAGGACGGGCTCACCTCTTTAAGGACGCCGTTGTGTTTCGAGCGTGCATTCAGGATCTCCTGAAACTCCGCCGATTCCAGGTATTCGAGCTGCTGGCGCCGTTTCTTTTCCACGGGCTCTAATGCTCTCCCTTCTGCGGAAACATAGACACAGACACACACACACACATACAAATTTAGACTTCTGTTGTGTAGCTGGGTAGGAGGATTCCTTTAGTTAGCCAGGCTTAATTGTTTTAAGGCTCTATGTTTAACTTCACCATTGTTTAACCTGTTAAATGATCACATATTTTATCTGTCTGTCATCTATCTATCTATCCATCCATCCATCCATCCATCCACCCACCCACCCATCCATCCAGACAAACAAAGGAATCGTTGGGTTTCCACACCTTCTGAATCAGCAATATTTTTCTCCACTCTTTCAGAAATGCTCGGAACGTCAAAATCTGATCGTTTCCGTTTGATGCTGTTGGGATCCACTTTGGGAAGAATCTGGCCTTTTGCATGCAGTTTCTTGATTGCTGCCATCTAAAAAGAATGCCGTTAGAAACCCACTCGACCATTTTCATTAAATCTCGTACAAAAAACAGCACGGCAAAAGGACGTTCCATCCCGAGCAATGCTGGAACAAGGCCTTTTAGAAACCATAATTTCTAAAAAGTGACACATGTCCCAAAGCTCACAGATTCCCACCCCCCCCACACACCAGTTCAATCTGTGAGATTGTAGGTTGCAACAAGAAATTTCAATCACCCAAAGTGCACCACGTATCTTACATTTTCCCTCTATGAACAAAAAAAGAAAGAAAAAAGACAAATGAGAAAAAAGGCTTGTGCCATTTAGCATCCAATTCTCCATCTGTGTTTCAAGTAGAAGTTTTGGGGAGATTCTAGAAGAAAGCCAATTAATATGTAATAAGTCACTGAAACGAACGAACAAGCAAGCGAATGCATTGTTTGGAGAATGGGCAGAAAATGTATTAAAATGGCAAAAAAAGTGCTGGAAAGCAAGATCTTAAAAGCACTACCTATAAACCAATTCACCCTTCACTGTATATATTACAATTAAGGAAAGAATATACACATTGATTTTTATAGAGCTTAAATATTGATTATTCCTTTAAATGAAAGAAGATTGTTTGTATTGTATTTCTGCTTCTCTACTTGAAATAAGTTGGAGGTCACTTTTGTTATATATTTGATGGATTATTTTGTCACCGTTTGCAGCCTGTTCTGTTATTCTCCTCCCTGATTTTCCTTTTATGCTAGCTTGTATTTTTAATATTTGTTATATGTGTGTGTGTGTGTGTGTGTGTGTGTGTGTGTGCATGTATGTATATGTATAGAGAGAGACGTAGGTAGATATGTAGATAGATAATATGTAAGATAGATAGATACTGGTAGATAGATAGAGATATAAATATAGATAGATATGTAGATAGATAGATAGATAGATAGATAGATAGATAGATAGATAGATAGATAGATAGATAGATAGATAGATAGATAGATAGATAGATAGATACCATTGATGGATGGATGGATGGATAGATAGATAGATAGATGTAGATAGATACCATGGATGGATGGATAGATAGATAGATAGATGTAGATAGATACCATGGATGGATGGATGGATGGATGGATAGATAGATAGATAGATAGATAGATAGATAGATAGATAGATAGATAGATAGATAGATAAACTCTTTCATTTTATATCCTGCCTTTTTGCACATAGGGGAGGACCAGTTGGGGGTCTCCGTTACCTTTTTGGCTTCTGCCAAGCAGTTGAGTTTGGGGGCCAGAGGGGGGCAATCGTCAAAGAACAGAACGTCGTCCCCTTCAGAGAGACCCGAACCCAGTCTGGGGGTTTGTGGGCTGGACAATTGTCCAGCTTTAGGAAACTCGGCTGCTGGAGTTGGGGACTTCAGCCCAGCCTGCCCCACAGAAGAGGATGGGGCAGGGGTCTTTTTAACAGCAGGGTCCTGAAGAAATCTGCAACGAAGGATGAAAATCAGAATTATAGTTTTGGCTGAAGGAGATAAACGCCAGGAAGCATTTGCCCCAATGCCTGGTTTTAGCATCTCTCGGGAAGTAGAAACGAATAACAGACTTAGAAGGGACCTCCAAGTCCAACCAAGGGATGCTGGTTTGTTGAGGACAGTTCCCACGGGGATAAAATCCTGGTTCAGACCCCATGCCATCCCTCCGCTAAACAACTACGACACTGTCACACCGTCTGGTAAGGCTGCATTACTATTATAAAATTAGAATTCTTTATCCGGCCAAGGATGATTAAGACACACAAGGAATTCGTCTCCGGTGCAGAAGTTCTCTGTGTACATACAATAGTGATAGATCATGATCCTAGTCATTGTAAAAATACTTTAATCATAAAACATTAGATACAACACCTAGTGATAGTCAGGGATACTAAATAAGCAACGGATTCTTCTCAGCTTTCCCATAATTTATCTCCTTATCTTCTTATGGTTATAACTTTGTTGCTTGTACCTTACAATTTATATTGTTTTATTTAGTTTCCTATGGGGACACGGGGGCTCAGTGACTAAGCTTGTCGATCAGAAAGGTTGGCAGTTCAGCGGTTCGAATCCCCAGCGCCGCGTCACGGAGTGAGCTCCCGTTCCTTGTCCCAGCAGCTTCTGCCAACCTAGCAGTTCAAAAGCATGTAAAAAATGCAAGTAGGAAAATAGGGACCCCTTTGGTGGGAAGGGAACAGCGTTCCATGCGCCTTCGAAGGCGTTCAGTCCTGCCAGCCACATGACCACGGAGACGTCTTCGGACAGCGCCGGCTCTTCGGCTTTGGAACGGAGATGAGTACACCGCCCCCTAGAGCTGGAAACGACTAGCACGGATGTGCAAGTAAGGGAACCTTTTACCTTTTATTTAGTTTCCTAGTATGACTTACGTTGATTGCTTATTTAGCATCCTAGGAATATCACTTGGCATTGTAATCCTATGATTTATGAGGACTGTATTTTAAAAACAGATTTGATACAAGATTCTGAGAAACTTTCTATATAATGTAATTTTGTGAGCAATTCCACATCTATCTGGTTTGCATGGACTCGTCCCTGTTTTCTAAGACAAGAATGACTGATGCAATCAGCCTCTGTTAACAAAATCCATATTGTATTTAATTAATAACTATATTAATAAAACAAATAAAACTTCAAAACAAAACAAAATCCATATTGCATTTTTTTCCTGCTTAGTTAAGGCAGCCTTGAAGCCTATAAACTCCAAGGAAGTAGATCAATATCCAAGATTTTCCTATTCACCTGGAAGATCAGCTCAAGCGGTGGCAAAAATGGGAGAACTAAAAATCCATTTAGAAATGAATTAGGAAAAAAACAACAACAGCGGATCTTTCCTCAAAATAAAAACAAAACAAAATAAAATGTGCTGGGCCTGAGGAAATTACTTTGACCTGAATGAGCTAGAGAGGAAACAAAACATTTTAAATTTACGTAGGAATGTTCGATTTGGTCCCTGTGAAAACAATGGCTAAGGACTTTGTTCAAGAAAGCTGTGTATCTAAAGTCTGTGAAAGAACAGTATGTTCTGGGATATTGTGTTCTTTTTTCTGGAATGTGCCACAACTTCTCGTTCTGGAAAAACACAATGGCTTTGGAATGCCAAGGCAGAGCATTCTGTCAGAGAAACAAAATGTTTTTATTATCAGGGAGATGTGCATTTATTGTCCAAATGTGATTTTTTGGGGGGCTCCATCGGAGATAGTTATTATCTTCCCCACAAGAGGTTGCCTAAAATTTCGTACACTTGCTCAAACTTCTCCAGTTTGGTATCTTCCCATCCACCACTGCGGTTGTTAAGGGAATAATTCCGTCGTTAAAATCTGACTCGTATATTATTCAATTGTTGTTTATGTAAGTGGGTGAGAGATAAGTACCTTGGTCCACATATTAAACGTACGGCCCGGTGGGAGGCCCATATTAAAACAACATATACCTCAAAGGTGGCCAAAATCTGAAACTTAATGTAATTTAATTTAATTACATTTAATACAGCACAATTTCTGATGAAAATGGTCTGAGATTTATTCTATTTTACATGTTTTATGCATTACATTATTGTATTTTCTCCTATAAGTATTGTATTTTACCCTACTCTCATTTTAAATTGTTTCTAATTTTATTGGTAATATGTGTTTGATTTTGTACGTTGACATGGCCTATAGGCTAATCAATAAATGAATGAATATACATACATACACACACACACATATACACACACACACATATACACACACAAACATCACACACACACACACACACACTAGCTTGATACCTGTGCTTTGCTACGAAACTATGTGGTCAGGCCTAGTTTTGGGGGAGGAAAATAAGGGGAAAAAAATTCTGCCTCTGCCTACCAGCATCCATCGGTATTCATCTGGCTAGCGTCCTGTCAATGTGTGAGAGAGTTGAGGGCTGTTTGGAAACTGAAAGAGTATTTGCTGTGTGAGCAAGAAGGAGACAGCAAGGAGCCTAGGCGTGGCTTAACTCAACTGTTCTGTATTAAAGGTGCTTGGTGCTGCTGTGAAACTGAGACTGAAACTCCTCTCCTCTGCTTGCGTTTTGCATTTGGGAGAGATTTCTTTCCAGGTGGGGAGGGGGAGTAGAACTCCTTAGCATCAGAGCATGTTATTAATAATAATAATAACGGAAATACTCTAAATGCTCTGATGGTCATTTGGAAAAATCCTTTCTTAGTAAGCCCCTAGAAGCCAAGAGGAACCTATGGGCCAAATTTCAAGTTTGTAGGCTTTACGGTTCTGGAGATTTTGTGATGATGCGTGAGTGCTTTTTCAGTTTTTTATATATAGATTCACGAGGTGATGTTGTGACATTCAGAACTGCAAACACACATCCGCAAACCCTGGGACCCTGCAACTGTCATAAGTATGAACCGGTTGCCTGAATTCCAATCACGTGACCACGGGGATGCTGCCCAGTCATAGTCACTTTTTTCAGTGCTTTTGCCACGTCGAACAGCCGCTAAACGAATGGCTGTAATTCGAGGACTGCCTGGATAGTCTTACAAAAAAGGACCACCAAGCCAAATCAGAAAGCGGTTGTTACCTCCTCTGGATTTCGTCAGATCTTCGCTTCCGGGCCGCCAACATTTGCTGTTTCTGTAGATTCAGCAAAGCTGAAGGAGAGACGGAGTGGATAGCTGGGGTTGCCTTCCCTGTAGACCCTGGAGGGAAAGAAAGAAAGAAAGAGGGAGAGGGAGAAAGAGAGAGAGAGAGAGAGAGAACGGAAGCTGTGACATCTGAAAGCAGCTTTTCCAAAAGGCAACTGATCTTCGATTTTCCTTGAAGACATTTTGTTTCTCATCCAAGAAGACTCAGGGGAGAAGGAAGCGATAGAAGGAGAAGGCTGAGGTAGCAGGAAAAGGAGGAGAAGGAGAAGAAAAAGAGAAGAGGAGGGGAAGAAGAGGAGGAGAAGGAGAGTAGAAGGAGGAAGAGCAGAAGGAGGACAAAAAGAGGACTAGAAGAAGAGAAGGAGAAGAGGAAACAAGAGGAAGAAGAAGAGGAAGGACAAGAAGAGGAACAAGAAGAACAAGAGAAGGAGGAAGAGAAAGAAGAGGAAGAGGAAGAAGAGGAAGAGGAGGAAGAACAAGAAAAAGAGGAAGAAGAGAAGAACAAGAGGAAGAAGAACACGAAGAGGAGGAAGAAGAGAAACAAGAAGAGCAAGAAGAGGAGGTAGAAGTGGAAGAGGAGGAGGAAGGGGAAGAAGAGGAAGAGGAGGAAGAACAAGAAAAGGAGGAAGAAGAGGAAGAAGAGAAGAACAAGAG